AAAATGTGAGTTTGTGATTGTTTCTTCAAGTCATACTTAAAAAAAAAAGAAAACAATTGATAAGCATATTTTTATAGCATACTAAAATTTGTTAAATTAAATACAAACCTGAATCGTGGAAATCGCTCATCTTACTAGATATTGCTATGTTCAATAGCTTTATTGGTTGTTTGGGTCAGTGACGAAGATCGCTCGAAAAATGGTCACATTTACATATATATGTTACCGGCCAAACCCGATCTTAGGACGAACTAGTTAGTGCCTAGGCTAAACTAGATCAGGGGCCACAGTATTTTCACGCAGAAGATCTAGCCGCACTTAAAAAAAAAATAACCCTCATCAGTCCAACTCCAGCTACGCAGTCCACTATATTGTTACGTCCAATTTGTTTCCGCGTTGGACGAATATATTGGATCTAGGTATAACTAGTCATCTTTTCTGACGAAGCGCATTTGCTTCTCAGCGGCTATATTAACACGCAAAACTGCAGCATCTGAGGATCGGTAAGTGCACACGTAGTAGTCGAAAAGATAGTTTAGTGTGGACTTTGGAGCAGCGGCATTTTTTCCATTTTGGCCCATTTTTCCTTTGAAAATGCTGAGGGAAACGCTATAAGTTCGACAATCGTGTTATCAGGAGCTGAGATTCAAGGTCGTTGGATGTTCTGCGAACAATCCATTACAGGTTCAGGCACTTAAGGCGAATATCGAGGAAGCCATTCGTGAGATAGAATCCGAAACCGTCACCGAGGGGTTTGGAAAGTTGGGTTAACAAGATGCGCTACTGCAAAGCCAGCCGAGGCAGCCCCATGAATGAAATCGCGTTCAATAAATAATAGGATTTTTTCGATCAAAAATATACCGAAAAAGTGTTATTTTATTTAATTTTTTTTTTTTATAAAAAAACTACTATTTGTATGGACCATCCTGTATGTAGATACATATACCATGGTCCCGCTGCCTCGAGCCGCATTTTCCAGGAATTTCTCTAAACGTTAAACCATAAAATCCCTCTAAGATGCAAGTACTTGCGCCTGGGAAGTGGCTGAAGGAATGATGAGCGGCAAAGGTTTCACAGGTATTATACTCCACTTCAAGGTAAAACGGATCAGAATTTCTGCTCAAGAATTCAATCTACGAACTTTGCAAAGTATGCTGGGTGTACATGTACTTACAAATTCTTAAATCGCGCTATTTCAACAACGTAATTAGCCAAGAATATAAAGAATTACTTTGACGATTGCAACACTGGCGGCACCAGCGACACTGGCACAGCCGACGACACTGGTAACACTAGCAAAGCGCGAATAGACATTCCCAAGAATTAATTTACTAAACTATAAAACTAGTGCACTGTTTATAAAATTCAGTTATTATATTTATAAATATACCTACGTACAAATACAAATTTAGTTTACAATATAACAATAAAAGGACATCTGAAAAAAGGAACAGTCCAGCGCCTTCGTCTTGGTCTGCAGGCTGTATCTGAGATACAGCCGCTAAATTTAAACGTAGAATACGTGGTATGGTTAAGAGCATATCAAAGTCAAAAACGAAAGTACACACTATAAAAAAAATATCGATAACAACAGCGATAATAATATGGATAGAAAAATCGATTAAAAATAACGGGTAATAAAACCGAAAAAAATATTGATGACAAAATAGATAAAAATATCGACAACAAAATCTATAGCAAAATCGATAACAACATCGATAAAAATATCGATAACAAAACTGATACAAATATCGATAAAAATATCGATAACAAAATCGATAATAAAATCGACAGTAAAATCGATAACAACGTCGATAACAAAATCAATCAAAATATCGATAACAAAATCGATAAAAATATCGATCATTATATCGATAAGTTCCGAAAATATCGATAGCAAAATCAATAATAATATCGATAAAAATTTCGATAACAAAATCGATCACAAAACCGACAAAATATCGGTTATTATATCGATAAGTTCCAAGAATCCCGAAAATCTCTAAAATCCCGAAATAGTTCCCAGATTGAGTCTCTGTTCCTCTATCTATATCCTTTTCTCTACAACTACCTTTATTTTAATCTTTCTTCCTCTATCTTCATCTTTACTTTTATCGGTATTCTCAACCTCATATTTTTCTTTATATTTATCTTTGTTTTTATTTTTATGTTTATCATATTCTTCATATACATATTCTTCTTCACCTTTTCCCCTTATATAAGTAAAGTGTTCAAATTTACCTTGGGCTTCATTTTTGCCTTTATCTTTGCGCAACTTTGTTTTTGTTTTTATTTTTACCTTTGCCTTTATCCTTATCTTTATCTATGTACGTACTGACCTTTACTTTTATTCTTGGATTGGTCTTTTTCAAGTGTTGTTTCACTTCAAAAAGTTTTCGCGTATTATGCATACATGTGTTCATAGATATATGTATGTACATATGTATAGACATACATAGATTACTAAAAAATTGAGCCAGATCCACATTAACTGCAATCAACATATGTACGTATGTATGTATTTACATATGTACGGGTACATACGCTGTGATTAGGTTATAAATATTGGTCCATTTGTTTATCAAAAACCGAAATATGTACTTACGCACACATACATACTTTTTGTCTCCTTCCCACACTTCCAATGCATGCACGTGTTTGCAAAGTGATGACGAAGTGATTTTGTATGGGAAATCATTTATGCCCATATATTTGAATAAAATAAACATATATAGAAGATATCAACCAATACTTCCCATATACCAAACGAAAGGAAAACTCTTGAATTTTTGACTAAAGAAAACAAAAACAAAATCATTCCAGCGGTTTTCGAGCATTTTGGTAATGAAAAAAATTTGCAAATTTTTTCAACCATTTTTTGCCTCAATATTTGTTAAATTTATATAAAATTTGTACCCGATAATATTTCTACTGCTCCAAAAAACCTATATCCCGAAAATGAAAGTTATATATGCCAACAATAAGTTGCTAGAGCACTTTAAAGGCTCAAAATTGACCCCAAAATAAGGCAATGTTTACCGTTGTTTTTACGACAGAAACCGAATTGGTTATTTACAAAAATG